CCTTCCTCCACCCCCACCCCCACTAAATTGCTCATGCATTGGAATGAAATCCTTCCCTCTGCTATTCTGGCTTCAGTTGCCCAGATTCCTCATCCTGCTGGGTGGGGAGCTTGTGCTACTCAGAGAACTGCTTGGGAGAATGGGGCTAAAATACAAGGGCACTCAGCTTGGAGCCTGTGCTCCCCTATCCCATCCAAGCTTGGGCTGCTGGAATTCCCCTCCTCCAGTCCTGGGCTTTTTAGTTCCTCCACCATTCTGTCTTTGGATAAGATCTGGAATCTTTTTTTTTCTTTTTGTCCGAAAGGATTTTTCCCTGTCTTCACTTCCCCCCTTTTCCCTCTTCTGTTTTTCCATTGTCTTCTTTTCTGTTTCCCAGCATTCTATCTCTATTTGTGTTTGTTCCTCTCTTCCGCCCTAAGTCTGCTTTTCTGCAGCTTGCTTTCCTTTTCCTTCTGTTTTCTTCCATTTCTTGAGAAACTGTGTGTCAGTGGAAAGAGCTAGATCTAGAGCTACGAGAATGAATGAATGAATGAATGAATGAATGAAGTTTAAAAAATATTTATTAAGGCTGAGCACTCTCCCAGGCTAAGGCCTGGATTTGAATTCTTCCACAGTCACTTGTGACTATAACCTCTTAGAGCCTCAGTTTTCTTACCTACAAAGTGCCTTATTAGCTGTTGGGAAGAAGGTCGTTCTCACACCTTAAAGTGCAAATAAATATAAGTTGTTCCTTTTTTCCCTTCTGTCCTTTTCCTCAATACTCCCTCTCTTCTTCCATCCCTCCAGGACACACAATTACTTTGCCTTTGGGTAGGGATAGTCAAGTCAGGTCACTTCCCTTATAGATATTATGTACACAAGGGGAACCTACTGGCATAAGGCAAAGACTTGGTTACAGGTCTTTCCTCTACCATGTGGTACCCATATGACCTTGGCCATGTCTCTCATCTTCAGTTTCCTTACCTATGAAATAGGGATAATAATATTTTATTTCCTAATTACCTCACAGGGCTTTTGTGAAAAATCAAATGAAACAATATAGGTAAAGCACTCTTTCTCTTTTTGTCTCTCTGTCTCTGTCTTTTGCTCTGTCTCTCTGTCTCTCTCTGTCCCTCTCTCTCTTACACACACACATAGAAATGAATGGAACCTCATTTATTACTTACTTGTTTCTAGCAATGTGTGATGTAAACATTGGCTATTGTTATTATCTGTCCAGTGCCTGTGCATCCTGTATGTTTGTATGTACATGGGGAAGGCCGCAGGGAAGGTGTGGTGGAGCAAGGTGGAATGGCACTTCCTTGTATTATCCTGAAATAGTGTTTACTCAGTGCTTAAGTATACATAATGTCCTAAAAGATAATGGGAAGCTCAAGCTAGGGAAGAGATAAAACCAAGCAGTTTTTGTGCTACAGAATGAGAGATAGGCAGAGAAATCCTCATGACCCTTCATCAAATGTGAGGCACTTGAGGAAACACAGCTGGTTTGCTACTTTAGCCATCAAATATAATCTGAGACCCCACTCAGTTCCATGTGTCACAACATGGAACATAATTGCATAGAAGCAGCAACATCTACCTGATCTGGTAAAGAATGAGAAATGAAGCTTTCCTGTTCAGTAGTTTCCCCTTTGGCCATCAATCATGGTTGACGCCCAAACATTGACCCTACCACATCCTTCTGACCCCCAGTACTTCACTGGAAGGGGCACAGAAGATCCAAGGCCACTGCTTCAATCAGGCCTATACTGGAGGACTCCGGGGGAAGGTGTGGGATGGAGAGGAATAGTGCCACTGAGTTGTTGTTCAGTTGTTTCAGTCACGTCTGACTCTTCACGACCCCATCTGGGGTTTACTTGGCAAAGGCACTGGAGCAATTTGCCATTTTCTTCTCCAGCTCATTTTACAGATGAGGAAACTGAGGAAAATGGGGTTAAGTGACTTGCCCAAGGTCACACAGCTAGTAAGTGTCTGAGTCTGGATTTTAACTCAGGAAGATGAGTTTTCCTGACTCCAGGTCTGGTGCTCTATCCACTGTGCCACCTAGCTGCCCTTGTCACTGAGGAGGTCCTGCCAATTTCTGGTTTAGTGCGCAGACTGGAAGGACTAAATACCATTAACTAAGATCCCCTCCTTCCCTCTCCTGATGTCCACTTTATAAGATTCCAAAGGACAAGGTCTACATAAGGATACGTCTCTGTATCCCCCAGTACCTGGAAAGGTTTTTGAAAGTATTAGAACATCTGTGATATTTATATCAGGACTGAATGAATGAGGAGTAGAAATCCTTTTTCTACAGAGGATAAGAATGGGAAATGCTACAGCTGTGAAAGGTTCTCATAAGCCAGACCCATGACCAAGAGACTAATTACTACCCAAAGAGGGGAAGGACATGGTGATCAAAGTCATACCATATGCCAGGAATATATATGCTTGGTTTATGTCTAAAGCTCATATATTCTCTTTAATCTGAGTTGGATTGGATCTTTTCCACAAAATGCTCCAGGACTATTTTTAGCACTGTAGGTTAGCATAAGAAATTTTAAAAAAAGGTACCCTCCCAACTGTTTGAATAAGATAACACTGTAGGATTGTCCATACAGGAAAAATCAGATTTCCTTTAATTTTTAAAAAGAATTTTAGTTAAATACTCAATTCAGAAGTTGTAATATAAAATTAATACATTGTAAAAAATAAATTTTCTAAGAATCTCTGCATGCATGGGCACTTTCCTCCTCCCTCTTTCTCTACCATGTCAAGTCAAATAGGAAAGTAATGAATTAGGCCAGAAACCCCTGCAAAAAGAAAGACTTGCAACGTCATGATTGATTCACGTGAGAGAATGAACAATTTTTATGCCTTTGAGTCTTTTGAATTTAGGAAAAGGGACATTCTCTTAGAGGAAGTATATGTTCTTTTCTCTGCTTTTCTTTTTCTCCTTTCCCTCCCTCCCTCTATTCCTTCCCTTTCTACTTTCTTCTTTTCTCTTTCATTCCTTTCTTTTTACTTTCATTCTTCTTGCTACCTCCTTTCCTCTACTCCATGTATGGTTTATCTCCCCTTCTTTTTTTTTAATATTCATTTTGATGTGTTTTGTACATTTGCTATTTATTCAGTAAATATTTATAAATTGACCGTTTGAGTTGAGAGGAGTTTTTATAATCTATCTTGGACTGGTATATTCTGAAATGCTGTTGAGTGCCAAGTCACATTTTTCTTTCTGAAGCTCCTTGGAAAATAAGCCTGGGCATTACATTCTTCAGGAAATACAATAGTACAAGTGTTTGGAACCTAACAGAGTCCTTTAGACTTGGCTCAAAGGATTGAGTACATTGGGCCACTCTATTTTTCCCCAGTGTGCAGTAGAAGGCTAAGTGTACCGTTTATTTTGGTGAGAAATAATAGAATGCAGCTGTGTGTCTGTAAAGAGTGTAGGAGTCAGATTTTCAAAAATCTTCATTATATTGTACCCCAGCGTATGTCCTGTGTATAGAGACTTCATTTGTCACAGGTCAATTCTGAATCAGTCTATGAGCTAAGAATACATTTGTGCCAGTAACAGTGTTTGTATATGTATGTAATGGGCTTGAAAATAGTGATGCTCGCTGTTTTTGCGTCTACAAAAATGGAAACTGGAAGCCTTGCTGCAAAGCCTGACATGAGAACAGCTTGATGTTGAGGAAATAGATACCTCTATATTTTTTTGATTGACTCCCTAGATCTGGGGTTCTTAATCTTTTGTGCATAGGAATGTGTGTCATAGACCCCTTTGGCAGTCTGTTATAGCCTATGGACCCCTTCTCAGATTATTTTAAATGGTTGAGGAAAATACTAAAATTTAGTTAGAGGTTAGGGAAAATAAAGATGTAACTTTTTTTTTAACAAACCCTTGCCCTAGATAATATTCTGTTTAAATTGTAATGGCAGTTTCAGTTGTTACTGTTGTGTTAACTTCTTTTGTTAGTGTGAATCCTGGTTATTTATATTACTTTGATGATCATCATTTATCATAGTAATAGCTAAAGACATTTACACTGAATTATAGAAAAAAAACCTCTTTCAGAAAAACCCATTAGACAAAAATTAATCAGAAAAATTAGAGTTTTTTTTAACATAACAAAAAAGTTCTCTGTAAGGTTTCTGTAAAGAGTAGACTGGAGGAAGTCAGTGGTACTCACAGTTCTGTGACTTTGGAGTCATGTTTATATTCACCACTTTCCAAAAGAACCACATGACCACCATGTGCCCCAGGGAGTCCAAGGCAATGGAATATTCAGAGATAGAAACATAGGGCTACAAAAGTTGCAGGTAGGTCACATGTAAACATTCCATCTGCCATTTTAAAGCAAGTGCCTAATTATCTTACTTGGCACATTGTAAGTGCACTTCTTCATCCAAAATGTTTGATTTGATTTGATTTGATTTGATTTGATTTGATTTGACAAAATAAAATTGAGAATTAATCTTTTTTGTTTTAAGCAAGGTCTCTCTTTTGCATAGACCTATATATGTACATATTGTCACTTCTAGTAGAACATAAGCTTCTTGAGGGTGGGAACTGTTTCATTTTTATTTTTTTTAATCCCCAGTGCCTAGCACAGGGCATGGTACATTGTAGCTGATTTATAAATGCTGTTGGTTGATTGATCTAGATAATTTGCACTGTTTCTGATTCATTGAGGTTATATAAGGTGAAGAGGTATCCTTATGAGATTGGCTTAGACAACATTTGTTTACAAAGTCAGCCTCTTAAATAGAGTTTTCCCTTTGCATTGTTCAGTGAATGTAATTTGAAAGCTTGCTTTTGTCTATAGTGGGCAGTTTCCAAATGTGAACAATGCCACCTTTGAGCCTATGGACTGAACTTTACTAATGGTACGTTTGGTAGGGAAAGATCATTAAACTCTATGCCCAAATGTTCATCAAGTTCCCTGGGATGGGGTGGCGGGTGGGGGGAGGGTGGAGAGAGCAGAAGGAGAGGGAAAAGGTAGCTTACTTACTTTCAGTCATCGTCATCCAAAGGAAACTTCCTGGAAAAATAGAAGATTTAATGTTTGCTATTTGTGTTGAGCTGCTGAGGAAGACAGCTCTTCATCGCCCTATTTTTTTTCTTGTCAATTCTGATCAACTTCCAGAGCATGGAGAAAAAAGGCGAAAAGGCAATACTTACTTAACCTGTTAGCTGAGACGTTTTTTAAACAAGCCCATCTATCCGGTGTGCTGTGGTCAACTCAGATTTTTATGAAGACAAGTCATGGGGTTATTTTCTCAGCATTAGACGTTTCAGTATTTTTCCATTTCCACAACCTAGCTAGTTCATAACCCATTAACTGGTGTGTGGCCCTCATTTCTAGAGCTACTTTGGGTCAGTGACCTGATGTTAACTCAGTCTTTCTTGCCTGCTGCTGCCCTAGCCCCAAACCTAGTTCTTCTTATACAGATATTGTTCCAAAGAAATATATTAGCTCTTATAATAACAGGGTCTCAAAACTGTTATTTTTTCCCTCAAATTCTTCCCCTTCATAGTCAGTTTTGTTGTCTCAGACAGTCAACAGATGCTTAGAGGTATTTACTGAGTGCTTGCTATAAGTCCAGCACTATGATAAGCGCCTTGGGAAATATCAAAAGAATATGACATTTTCCCTGTCTTCTAGGAGCTTGCAATTTAGCTGGAGAGAAATAGCTGACATTTTATTGATGAATCAATGAACAAGTATTTTTAAGCACCTACAATACCATTCTAGGCACTGTGCTAAGCAGTAGAGACACAAAGACAAAACTGAAATAATCTGTGCCCTCAAAGAATTTCATTCTTTTGGGAGAGAAAATAGTTACATAAATAAGCATAAACGAAATAAATAAGAGGCACATTTTTTGAATGAAGGGTGCAAGCCATTTCTTCATGTAAACAGTGGTGCTTGAGCAGAGTTTTAAAGGAAATAAGTCATTCAAACAGGTGGAGGTGAGGAAGAATGCGTTCTAGGCATGGAGACAGCCTTGGCAAAAGTGTAGAAATGGGAATGTCCTGTGTAAGGAGCAGCAACAAGGCTAATTCAGCTGGACTGTGGGATGCAGAAAAGGAAGTAATGTGCAATAAGGTTGGAGAGGTAGGTTGAAACTAGATTATAAGCAAACAGAGGAGATTCTCCTTGGTCCTGGACAAAGGGTTCTTCACCTTTCTTAGGCCATGGACTTCTTTGATAGATTGATGAACCCTCTGGACCCCTCTCAGAATCATATTTTTAAACACATTTATTACATAGGATTACAAAGGAAACCAATTATATTGAAACCGTTATCAAAATTAACAAGCAAAAAAGGGGGTTCACAGGCTCCAGATTAAGAATCCCATTTCCTAGAGACAATAGGAAGCCAAAGAAATTTATTGAATAGGGAAGTGGCATGGTCAGACCTGCAGTTTAGAAAATCAGTTTGGCTCCTGTATGTAAGATGGATGTGAAAGGAGAGAGATGTGAGATCAATTAGAGGGGCAGCTAGGTAGCGCAGTGGAGAGAGCACCGGCCCTGAAGTCGGGAGGACCTGAGTTCAAATCTGGCCTCAGACCAAACACTTGACACGTACTAGCTGTGTGACCCTGGGCAAGTCACTTAATCCCAATTGCCTAAAAAAAAAAAAGGAGAGATCAATTAGAAAGCCATTCTGATACTCCAATAAAGAGAGGGTCTGAACTAGGGTGGAGGCTTCATGATCAAATTCAATCCAATAAGTATTTATTAAGTGCTGCCTACTATGTGTCAAGCACTGTGTTAAGGGCTGGGAATACATTTAATAAAAAAGAACTGGGGAGACAACACATAAAAGAAGGCAAGAAAGAGGGGAAGGGGAATGGGAGGTGAGGAGGTACCCAGAGCAGAGGCATCTTGGTCTGTGGAGTTGAAACCAGGCAGGGCAACAGATGCAAAGTGGAGTGAACTGAGTCCAGTTTCTGCCTCTATAAAAGAAGGCATTGGGAGGAGTTTGATGATGTGACTCCAGTCCTCCAAGAGAGGAGAGAAGAGGGAGGGAGGTCTTATTAATTAAGGCTTGAGTTGGCAGAATGATGGCGAGTCTAAAAGTGATGAGCTTATCCTAGGAGGGGATCTCGTTCTCTGGAGTTGAAACCATGCAAGGCAGCTGATGCAAAATGGAATCTTATGAGTACAGAGAATGCAAAGATGAAAGATATTGGCAATGAATTGGATCCCATGTGAAAAATCAGAAGGCAATTTGGATTTTATATGTAAAATGTGAAGACAATTTAGTGCTAAATTAAATGGTACTTTTTAAACTTATTTCTTTAGAGCTTTATAGTTAGCAAAGCAATTTAACATAATATTCCATTTTCTCCTTTCAACAACTCTGTGAAGTAGTAAAGTATTACTGTCCCTCCTTTTAGAAATAAAGAAACTGAGACTCAGAAATGAAATGACTTGATCAAAATCATCCAGTTCATAAATGATCAAGATCTTCTGATCCCATTCTTCTGAGATATATGGGCTTCAATTCAAATCTTGCTTCCGACATTTACTGGCTTTTTTTTACCATCAACAAGTCATTTCACTTCTCAGAGTGTCACTTTCCTTATTTCTGTAGTGGAGATAATAGTATCTGTACACCTACCCTGCAGGATTGTTAAGGAAAGTACCTTTCAAATCATAAAGCACTATCTAGATGTGGGTTGTTAATATTAATATTATATCTAACTTGACATTGTTAGTACAAACAAAGATTAATGAAAGGAGAGATTACATAAAAAGCTTTAAAGGAGAGGTAAGAATGTTAGATGGTCTTTGAATAGTTTAGATGTAAATAAATGGAAGTAGAGAGGAAGGAGCCTCCTGGTAAGCTGAATAGCATGAGCAAAGGTAGGGATACCACTACCACCACCAGTACTACTACTATTACTACTACTACCATTTCTGTCCTAAGCACTTTACAAATGCTATCTCAGTTAATCCTTACAACAACCCTGGGAGGTAGCTGCTATTATTATTGCCATTTTACAGTTGAGTAAACTGTGACAAACAAGTTAAGTGAATTGCCCAAGGTCACACAGCTAGTAAGTATCTTAGGCCTGTTTTGAACTCAGGTCTTCCTGACTCTAGGCTCAGCACTCTATCCACTGTGCCACCTAACTGACCACTTGAAGGTAGGAAGAAGCATGATCCATGTGGAAAGAATGATGAGACCTGACTAGGTTGGAGAGTAATATGGAAATAAGATAGAATTAGGTAGTGTGAATCTGGGTTATGAAGGTTCTTTAGCACTGTCATGTTGGTATGTGCTTGGTGATGATGCGCGGAGGATCAGAATGGACTAGGACTTAGAGAGGACAACCAAGTCAGAGGGATCTGGGAGATACTGTGGGTCTAGGCAGTCAGGCAGAGTTCGGAGTCATGGGGTCAGGGGTTGGAAGATCAACCACCTAGTCTGCCCTGTTTTATGTTGCTTGCTGAATGTGGGAGGCCTAGGACCTAAAGATGTTCATTGTAGCTAAGAGGTCAGAGGTCAAAAAATGTCTTTCACCAATTGGGGCAAGGATAGAAAGACTGGAATCATCTCATAGCATTTCTCCCATAACGAAATATACTAACCCTTATTTGAGGGTCCATTATTATGAAGATTCAGAAAAGAAAACTGTTGCTCCCAAACTTCTTGGCACTGTCAAATGGTTCAATATCAGAACTGATACTTTGTCAGTGGAAATACCATTAAAGAAAAGGCATTACTGTCTGCTTTATTGCTGTACCCTAGTGATATGAGACCTTTCCATCTAACTTGCAGCTGAAACATTCCGTGTATGTTGTCTTCTCCATTTGAATAGAAGCTTATTGAGAGTAAGGACTATCCCTGCTCTATTTCCATTTGTGCCCTAGCATTCTGCCTAGTACTTTGCCTATAGTAAATGTTTAATAAATACTTCATATATTCATTTATTCATTATATCAGAATTGCTACAGGGCAAGTCCCAGATTTTTTATCACTGAATAATGGAGGTGCCCCTAGATCCACTGGGAATCAAGAATATTGTTTCCCATAGGAAAAAAATAATATATCCCAATCCATGGAAATGGTCATTTCATTTGAAGAGGGAAACATGGAACACCATATATGTTGGAAAAGAAGCACCATTTTGGTTTGGTTTGGTTTGGTTGTCATCCTTCATTTTCGAAGACGGCCAGAATGACATCACTATGTTGGAGTCAAGATACAGTGTGTCTGACTGTGGCTAATCAGACCAATATGAGCTCAGAAGGTTCTACCACAGGTCAGGCACAAGTAGTCCATATGAATATTTGGAGTGGAGATGTCTCTAAATTTGCACATCTCACATTTCTTTTTGAGCTACTATAATTCTGCTTTGTTCATAGAATGCAGTTCCTCTTTGATGTGGGCATTCCATGCTGGGCAGTCCTTTGCCATTGTCTACCATGTCGTGCAATTGATTCCAAAGTTCTTCAGAGAAATCTTGAGAGTGTCCTTATATCACTTCTTTTGATCTCCATGTGAGCATTTGCTTTGTGTGAAGTCTCCATAGAGTAATCTTTTAAGCATATGTACATTTGGCATTCAAAACACATGACCAGCCCATTGGAGTTGCACTCTCTGCAACAGAGTTTGAATGCTTGGCAGTTTAGTTTGAAAAAGGACCTGAGTGTCTGAGACCTTATCTTGCCAGGTGATCTTCAGAATCTTCCTTAGACAATCCAAATAGAAGTGATTCAGTTTCCTGGCATGTCCCTAGTACACTGTCCAGGTTTCACAGGCATACAACAATGAAGTCAGCACAATAGCTCTATAAACCTTCAGTTTGATAGGCAGTTTAATACCTCTTCTCTCCCACACTTTCCTTCAGAGACTGCCAAATGCTAAGCTAGTTCTGGCAATGCATGTGTCAACCTTGTCTTCTATGTGTACATCCCTGAAAAGTATATTTATCCACAGTATTCAATATTTCTCTATTTGCTATAACCAGTGGTTTCACATATGCATCGTGTGGTGCTGGCTGATGGAGAACCTGTGTTTTCTTGGTATTGATAGGCCAAAATTAGCACAAGCAGCAGAGAATTGATCCATACTTTGTTTCAGAGGCTGCATTTAGCTGCACAACAGAATTGATCCATACTTTGTTTCAGAGGCTGCACTGAGTTGCACAATCATCTATGAACAAAACATCGCATACCAACTCTTTCCCTCCACATTAGTCTCGGCTTGCAGCCTTTTCAAGTTGAAGAATTTACGGTCAGTG